GTTGGACTAGAAGACCTCCAAGGTCCCTTCCAGCTCTATTCTGATTGAAATAGTAGAGGGTCTCCTGCTTGAGCAGTGGGTTGGACTAGAAGACCTCCAAGGTCCCTTCCAGCTCTATTCTGATTGAAATAGTAGAGGGTCTCCTGCTTGAGCAAGGGGCTGGACTAGAAGACCTCCAAGGTCCCTTCCAGCTCTATTCTGATTGAAATAGTAGAGGGTCTGCTGCTTGAGCAGGGGGCTGGACTAGAAGACCTCCAAGGTCCCTTCCAGCTCTATTCTGATTGAAATCGTATAGGGTCTCCTGCTTGAACAGGGGGCTGGACTAGAAGACCTCCAAGGTCCCTTCCAGCTCTATTGTTATTGATTGATTAAACAAATGTGGCAAGGAAAGTCATCAAACGGGGCAAAACTCAAACAAATTCCCTCATTTTGGACGCAGTTATGGACGTAAGTTGAGGAATCTGTGTGTAAGAAAGTATGTAAATCTGTGTCCTATAGTATATGTGGGTATATGCAGAATTTTGTATTTATTTATTGTCAAGGTTATGCAGCCGTATGCAGCAAAATTTCATTTTAATGTGTGCCGATTAGCGTACACTGAAATTGAGAATGAAGTTATTCTAAAGTTCTTCTATTCTACCTGCAGCTTTGCCCAGGGATCATGTTGGATCCTGGATCCATTTGATCAGCCTAGGAGGCCCCGAATGCAGGAAAGGGATTACAGGTAACTCACGAACACAACAGAGCCCAACATTTATGTTGGTAAGTGAGACATTTAAGTGAGTTCTGCCCTATTTTACGACTGTTCCTGCCACAGTTGTTAAGTGAATCATTGCAGTCGTTAAGTTAGTAACCCGGTTGTTAAATTTAATCTGGCTTCCCCTTGGACTTTGCTTGCCAGAAGGTAGCAAAAGGGGATCCCGTCACCCCTGCCACCGTCATAAATGTAAGTCAGTTGTCAAGCATCCGAATATAAATCATGTGACAAATGGGGAGGCGGAAACATCCGTAATGGTGAAAAACAGTATGTAAGTTACTTTTTTTCAGTGCTGTTGTAACTTTGGATGTTCACTAAGTGGACTTTCGTAAGTCGAGGACTGCCTGTAATAATCCGGGATCGAAATTCAGCAGCTTCCAAACAAGGAAGCCAATCCATCTTGGCTTGGGGCTCTGTGCTGACTTGGAAAACAAGCTTTACAAAACCCTTAGTCAAAGATAAAAGGTTCCCCTCGCACATCTGTGCTTGTCGTTCCTGACTCTAGGGGGTGCTGCTCATCTCCGTTTCAAAGCCGGAGAGCCAGCGCTGTCCGAAGACGTCTCCGTGGTCATGTGGCCGGCATGACACAATGCCAAAGGTTCACAGAACGCTGTTCCCTTCCCACCAATTCCTATTTTTCTACTTGCATTTTTTACCTGCTTTCGAACTGCTAGGTTGGCAGAAGCTGGGACAAAGAACTGGGAGCTCACTCCGTTACACGACGCTGGGGATTCGAACCGCCAAACTGCCAGCCTTTCTGATCGACAAGCTCAGCGTCTTAGCCACTGAGCCACCCTTGGTTCTTAAGGGCCCCTTTTTCTACAGATTTCCTATTGTCCCCTGGCGTGTTTGTTCTGGGTCCCTGTGCAATTTTCCACCTGCATGCAGAGTTGCACATATGAACTGCCAACCCCACGCATGTGCTAGGCATGGGACAGATGGCCAGAGAGTCAAGCTGAGATGCTGCAATGAAACAAATGCAAGTGTGTAAAGCCAGAGGGCAATTTTACTCATTGCAAACGAAGTGCGTTTGTGGGTATTTGTGTCTATGTGAATGTAGAGACACAAAGAGGAAATAGCACCAGGGCCAAATTAAACATCTGTGCAAACTAAGAGGATTTAGCAATCTTGGTGTGTAATAATTCATGAACAAAACAGGCTAAGTAGCTAATATGACTCTCCCCTTGTGGGTTCGTGTAAACCTACATTATTGTTCAGGCTTGCTGGCATTCCCAGAGGCTCATTGCTGGAGCCAGTTTCTTGCTGCAATCGTGATGCTGAATGGAACGTGAGTGCAGGACGTTCTCGACTTACGACCACTACTCAGTGTGAAATTTCCACAGCTAAGCGAGACATCTGTCAAATGAATCCCCCCCCCCAATTAACAAC